GCAATGATGTGCCATCAGTGTGTTGGTGCACTCAGCTCTGCCTCTACCTCTCGCTTTCATCAAACCCAGCTGAGGTGGTGATAGTCCTAAACCAGTGTTTGGCTGGGATGATGGGCTGGATGATGGTCAACAAATTGAAACTTAATCCAGACAAGACAGAGACTTTGTGGGTAGGTGGCTCCCATGTTCAGAGGGAGGATATTTGCCCTGTCCTGGACGGGGTTAAACGCCCTCCCAGGCTGGGGGGTGCTTCTGGACCCTGAGCTGCCCCTGTAGCACCAGGTTGGCTCGGTGGCCAAGAGTGCCTTCTATCAACTCCAATTAATTTGTCAACTTCCATCATATCTGGACAGGTGGGACCTAGCAACCATAATCCATGTTACTGTTTACTGGTAAACTCTCAGTTGGACTACTATAATGTGCTCTGTGTTGGGCTGCCCTTGAAAACGGTCTGGAAGTAACAGCTGGTGCAGAACAGAGCAGCTAGGCTGCTGTTGGGGACTGATAATACCAAACACATTACAGCAGTCCTGAATTACACTGGTTGCCAATTGAAGTCTGGGCCCACTTCAGGGTGCTAGTTTTGATGTCTAAATCCCTAAACAGTTTAGGACCTGAATATCTGAAAGAACATCTCCATCCCTATAAGCCTATCCAGACCCTAAGATTGTCATTGGAGGTCCTGCTTCGCAAGCTGGCTCTAAAGGAAGCTGGGCGAATGGCTACCCAGGGCAGGGCCTTCTCGGTTGTGGTGCCCCATCTATGGAATTGACTTCCTAGAGATATTCATTAAGCCCCATCCTTATACATATTCCGGTGCTAGACTAAGACATTTTTAATCAAAGAAGCATTTTAATTATTATTTTAATTGAAATTTAATTTTAATTTATAAATAAATAAATACAATGTAAATTTTAGTATTCTTAATTATGACATGTATTCCATTCTGTTGTTAAACTATTATCTGGTGCTCCTGCTAGGATGTTATGCTATTTATGATTGATATTGTGGTTTAATTGTGGTTTTAATTGTCTAAATTGCGTTTAACTGTCTTATGTTTTATGTTGTTGGTTTTTCATTATTTAAACCATCTAGAGAGTCGTGTGGCTATGAGAGGGTATAGAAAAATGCTAAATAAATAGATAATAACAAATGTTTGTGCCACTGCAGAATGCAGGACATTGAAAAAAGGGCTCCAGTTACAGGAAGCCAGATTCCAGCTGATGGTAAGAGGAATGTGACAATGGGACCGATTATCTAGGGTGGTTTGTGGGCTCCTCCACACTGCTGCAGGTGTCTGAGATGTTACTGCACAATCATCTGTTAGGGATCCTTGGAGTCCTGCAACTCTGAGGAGGGGGGTGGACCCCGTGGCCTCATCGGCACCTTCCAACTCTACTCTTCTTGGATTCTGTGGAAACGTACACCAGCAAAGCTAACCCCTTTCCATCCTGATCATGGAAAGGAGAGGAGAAACCAATGGAGTAGTGATCAATTTAGAAATGCAGGTGCTCATCATGACAGTTTCCATTGCTTCACTCTCATTTATGGTTAAATAACCCTCACATAAGCATAAAATAGTGTATGTTCATCCCTTGCCCAACACATCCACAAAAAGCAAGAAAGCCTAAAGTTTTTCCAAGAGTTCTTTTTCTCAACACCACTTGATCTCAAAGTCAGTCAAGCAGCTCTAGTAAGTCTTACATCCATGAGGAGCAGGTGTTTTCCAGCGCTAGTAAATCTTAGTGGCACATTTAAGGCCAAGCCAGTCCAAAATACTTTGTGTGATACCAAGGATAGCTCACAACAATAGATTGTTGCAAGGAAAATTCATTTTCCTTCCAGCCATTGGGAGGAACGCAGCTAAACTCAAAGGGAACATGGGAGTGGTAGACAGATATTCCTGAGCCTGTGGAGCCAAAAATCCCAGCCCTTTGGCCTTCCGAATCCGGATAGAATTATGCCCCTGGTGGAAACTTCCAGGCCAGGAAAGAAAGGTAGGCACTTTGGATGGGAATACCCCAGTGCTTTGTAGACGATGAAAAGTGAAGCAGCTACAGTCAGGCAGAAGATAAATAAGCAGAAAACAGAACCATTCTGGTCCAGTGGAGTGGTGGGCCATTAATTCTGCAGGAAACTGCTCTTCCTGGTCAAAAGCAGCAGAGGCCTTAAGTAGGCAATGCACTTGTAGAAGTTAAAACACATCCTTGTAAGTTATAGCAAGGACTTTAGTCACTACTTGCTTATATTAAGGGGAAGAGGCCTTGACAAGCTGATGCTCTTCCTTTGCTGCTGTTATTGTTTTTGGGACATTGAAGTTATGTGGGCAAGACGAACTACAGATCATTTTGTCTGTGTATATTTCATGTTCACACTGGGAAACCAAGGAGGTAGAGAACTAGGTAAAAGGTGCTAGGAGAGGCCTCATCATGCCTTTTAATGTTGCAGTCAAGCCTAGCTTTATTGGGAATTTGAAATGTTGTTAGTCGTAAAGTCGTGCCTGACCCATCACGACCCAATGGCCCACATTTCTCCAGGCTCTCCTGGCCTCCAACATCCCTCGGAGTCCACCCAAGCTCATGCACACTGCCCCAGTGACTCCATCTAGCCACCTCATCCTCTGCCCTCCCCTTCTCCTTTTGCCGTCAGGGTCTTCTCCAGTGAATTGTTCCATCTCATTAAGTGGCCAAAGTATTTGAGTTTCATCTTCAGTATCTGGCCTTCTAAGGAGCAGTCAGTGTTGATCTCCTCTAGGACTGACCGGTTTGATCGCCTTGCGGTCCAAGGGACTCGCAGGAGGCTCCTCCAGCACCACAATTCAAAGGCCTCAATTCTTCAGCGCTCAGCCTTCCTTATGGTCCAAATTTCGAATGACAGTGAAGCAATGCTGCCCTCTAGTGGCAAAACATGTATAGCAGGCGTGTAGACAGAAAAGCTCTCCCTTTCAAAGCAGAGGAGGAATCTCTTTCTAAGTCCACAAAATGCCCTTTAAACCTACCAGTGTCCTCAAGCAGCTATGGGTTTGATCTAATGATATTACTGTAGGTCTCCAAGAGCAGGCAGCATCTCACTTATACAAGACCAACTGTATCTTTGCTGCCCTGAATTGGTATCATCTTTCAGATGGTCTTTCCTCAAGTGAATAAGCACCGTGGCTCATCATTTCTACTTCGTCTTACATATACAGCGAGGGTGAGGGCCATTGTCCTACTCAAAGTGTTGACAGCCTAGAACAACTATCTGGATCACATGAGTTTTCCCTAAAGAAATCACCGTTGAGGAGCAAAGGGCACATTGTTTTAAGGAGAGGTGTCTCAGCTTAATCCCCAGGCAGACATTGCAGCGTTTGCGCTGCAACATCTGCCTGGTCGTGTATTGTGGCTGCCCAGGTTGGACTTCTAGCCTACAGTCAGATGGCCAACAGGGTGGGTGAACTTGTTCAGCCTAATGACCCAGTCCACCTCTTCATCCCAATTATATGCAAATTGCGGGAGGGTTTAGGCCAGCGCATGTGATCTGCAGCACTGCTTCATCCAGGCAGTGGGGGTGGGGGAATATGGGCACCTCTGGAGGAGATCATCAGAAGCAGAGGACGCGTTTCTCTCCAGTCTCCGCATCACTGCAGTAAACATAGATCCAGATTGGCAGCTAGAATCAGACTTCATTCTGCAGCCAAGGATTTCAGGTGTTGGGACTGCAATTGGAGTGCAAACCTCCAACTGCAGTTCAGTCTGTTTAACAAGGTGCTTGATGAACTGAGAGCTAATCCAGGCATAACATTTACTAGGTTGGGTCTGTTCTGCTCTTGAGGAAGATTGCAATACCCAGTGCAAAAGGGCCAAGCAAGGGGAGCAGCGACTCGTTTGTTTTCAGTGGCCTAGAGCCCAAACAATTCAATTTCATGGCAAAGGCAGTCCTTGAGACATGGTGCCTGACAAGTAAACCCAGCATTTCTTTCTCCCGCCTGTTCATTCTGCATCAAGCCAAAACATCCCTTTTTTATCTAAAACATTTATCCTACTCTAGGCAAAAGGACATCCTGAACAGCCTATATAGTTAGCAAAACAAGGCTGTCTCTGCTCCTCCAATACAATCTAAAAAAACATACCAATGGAAAAGGACCTTGGGAAGAAAAATAAAGCAAACTAGCCACTAATTCTTAAATAGTTCCTATAACAAAGAGTTAGAATGGAATCACTTCAGAGAGAAGAGCCAGCTGATCTCTTGTAGAGGCGATGGGCTGCAGCTTGGAAGAATCTGAACTAGCTTTGAGAGTAGCTGAACATAATGGCTGGGGATTAAAGTTACTCCTCTGTTCACAAAAGGATGCAGTTTCTGCCAACTTTCTCCTCCCAGTACCAAATAGTACTCATTATTTCCAACCCATAGGAATAGTTTTCAAGACGGTGATGAGAAAAACCCTATCCTGTGGAAGTAAAGTCCTGTTGATCCCAGCCATTGTGAACCTGGGCAAATCTTGAACACAACAGTCCCGGACTGGAAGTTTAGGCTTCAGGTCCCTCTCCAGCAGATGGTATCTGCTCCTCTGGTCATCTAGGCAATAGCTGAATCTTCTCCAACCCTTACCCAGGCCCAGAAAGCAATCACATAAACACATCCCGGCAAAGCAGACATGACCTCTGGCTGTTATGCACTCCCATACAGTGATGACAGAAGCCTCCTGCTCTTTCAGTTTGCCACCTCCACATTACACTGACTTATCTGGCTCCTCTTCCTCATCTTTAGATAGGAACTTCTGTATATGTTGGAGCTGGAGAGTCATGTTTTCCACACAAAATCCAAGGGTTCCGTAGAGTTAATCTTGTCAAAGCGACAGCAGAACCTTTGAGGAATAGGAAAAAGGTCTTCCCATCTCTCCCCACTCCCCTGGCTGGGGTTGTAGTTGAGGATTATGGGGCTGTTTTTGCACACCGGATGCCACATGCTTATGTCAAAACACTTCCAGCAGAACTAGAGACATCAGACAAGTTCCATCTGGCTTATTTGAATCACCACTTTTATTGAAGCATAAACACAGTAACACCTTACTCGAAAGGTATATTCAAGCTAACTTCTACAGAGGACTACTTGCGGGAGACTTTTGTCGCCCAGCTCTCCCAAAGAGCACTAAATGGGATTCGTCACAAATAATCCCTTCACATTAGACCAGGTGTCTTCAGTGGCACACAGCAGTCGCGCAGCCAGCACAGGAAGCCTAGTGCTGCTTGGCGAAGAAAGCCTTGCTGTCTTTCACCGTGGGCTTGATGGTGTCACCGCCAGGATGCCAGCCAGCCGGGCACACTGCAGCAAGAGGGAAAGTGAGGACAGTGAAGAAAGCTGTGCGGGGAGGAGCCAGCGGGCAATTCCGACACACAAAGCGAGGCGGCGCGCTTCCGGGGCAGCCGCTGAGCCCAGTGCCACCGCCCTCCTGGCTGCCTCCGCACTGTGCCCGTGCCCGGGGCTACGGTGCTGCTCGCGGCTCCTCACGGAGGAAGGAGGGCTCAGAGGCAGAAGAGGCACCCCCTGCTGCCCCCTTGTCCCTTTTCAGCCTCCCGTTCCAGAACAGGGCTGGCCAAGCAGCATGCACACCCAGCGGGGGGAGGAAAAGGCACAGGGAGCAGCTGCATGGCGAGCCCCTCCCTTTCCAATATTCTTCTCTTATGCGATACAAGCGAAACAGAAAGAACCTGTTAGGCAAGGGGACAGCTATCTGTTCGCATCCTATACAAAGGTGGCATGGGTGAGTTTGTTCTTTTTCTGCAAAGTGTAACCTTTTGCTTTCTGCCCGGTCCCTGCAAGCCGTGATGGGGCATGCAACTAGAAGACGTTCCCTTCTTTAGTCCCACTGCCCTTCTCCCAGCCATTCCAATGCATCTTTCCAGTGGTAGCCTCTCTCTCTCCTGGAAGTTGTGTTCTGCAAATGCTACCCAGCGATCATTAGGAGTTTATGCTGAAGAATCTCCCCCGTCCCCATTGGAGGCCATGAAACTTGGGCAAACTAGTAATATGGCTCATTCTCAGGCAAGTGGGTATAGGATTGCTGTCTCAAGAGTTAAAGAGCTCTGTTTTGTGGGAAAGGAGTCCAGGTTGTTACGGGGTGGTGGTGAAGATATCAATGCAAAAGAGCTTAAAACAGATAACCCAACATATTTAAACATTTATTTTAAAAATGCAGTTATCAAATAGTCTATTGCAGTTCAATATTAATACAATAAATTAATTCTATGACATTTTACAACAAGCTTCTGTCAGTTATCCAGTGGTTTTGTACTCACTGGACAAGGCATTGGAAAGAGGGGGCAGGTTTTATTCTTTACAGAGCAAGTTGACAAAATACAGACAGCTGGTTTAGGGTGCTATTCATTATTGCTGTGCTTTTACTCTGGGGAGAATTTCTTGTGGGCTAGTCTATCATAGATGCCAAAGCAGTTTAGCCACCTATGGCCCTGAGAAAGGGGCACCATTGGCTCTTCTGCTTCAAGAAGAATTCGAGGGCAAGCCCTGTTGCAATGATGCTGCAAGAGCAAAAGTTTTTCTTGGTGCAGAGTTTTTTTACTCTCACCCTTCTTTCACTGGAGAAAAATCCTTGCTGGATCAGAGCAACTTAATATTTCCAAACTCAGATTACATGTGATCTCTCCAGACACCAATGAATCCCCTCTCAACACTTCTTAATGTCCTTCAAGGAACTCTATTCTTCCTATGTCTTTTTTTTTTTTTTTAAGCGAATGCCTTTTTTTGTTTGTATCAGCAGCTCAGCTTGCTGTGAAATAGGTTTATGTTGGTGCTGAAAACTACTCAGTCAAAAAGTAGCTCTGTGTGTTGGGGCCCAGACCTCCCCCACTCTGCCTTTTGCTCAGTCTTTGGCGTGGGTTCCTTGTCCTTCACCAGGCTTCCCAAAGCAGCATTTTGTGGTAGCCCTTGGCTGCAACAGCTTCTCAGATTGTCTAACATGCACATGTGCCCAAAAGGCTGCCCACCCCAATCCAGTCCTATAACCAGATTTTCCTCATGGTCAGCCGGATACTTCCAGGAAGGCATAAGCATTACACTGTGGTTGCTCACCCCTTTACCGCAAAAGTTTATTCAGTGGTAGCTTGCCTCTGAACCTTTGCGCATCATCTTGGAGATTTAATACATCACGGTACTTTTCAGGCAGCATCCTGAACCCCCGCCCCACAATCTCAGCCAGACTCTGCCAACTCCTGAGATGTGCCAGGGTGATAGTTTGTGAAAGCTCTCACCCAGCCTAACACCTACTGGCCAAGCCAATGACTTGATGTCACTGGATGTCCACGAACAACGTGTTGGAATTGCTGACAGCTTCTCAGCCATCCAATGTGCTTAAGGACACTCCAAGTTGAAGCAAGTGTCAGTCTGACTAAGAAGTGCCACAAGGCTGCAAGAACTGAAGGATCTGCGTAGGCAGAGAAAGGATTTTTGGAGGTAAAGAAGCTAAGGAGTGAAAAATCCAAGAGGAACATAAGCAGTTATCCTACACGAACAAACGTGAAGGGCACACAGGTCCAAGGAGAGCATGGACTAATGAAAGGGAAAGACCCTGCAAAACTTGAGGCCAGGAGACACTGTTGATGGGGGCAGTGGGGGATGCAGGGAAAGAAGAGGCAAAAGTGTTAGGCAGGGCAATTAATTTAGGTAAGTGTGGCTGAAAGTAAGAGACACCTGCATTTGAATGTGTGAGAAAACAGCAGGCGGGTACAGCAGGGGGTTAATATGGGGGTAGTTAACCTATTCAGCTCAAGTGCCAGTTCAATTTCAGAACAGCTCTTGGGAGTGATATCCCCTTGTAGACTGGCCCAAAGGCCAAGGCAACGGGGCAGAAATACAGGGATGCCAGCATGGTGCATCTTAAGGCTCTTGCTGGTAACAAGACCTTCTCGGGAGTCACATTCCAGCTTTTTCAAGTGGAGGAGAAAACCCTGGGCAAAAGCTGGGAGACCCTGAAATGATCAGCCACTGAGGGAAACAAGTGGGATGGGGCGGGGAGCATGATCCCAGAGGAACCCTGGAAGAATGGGCAGGGCGATCCAGAGGACCTGAGGCTTCCTCTCCCAAACTAGAGTGAGCAGGGCTGAAACAGAAATATCACTGGGCCATCAAACGGAAGAGGGTGCATAAGCAGAGTAGGAAGCAGGGAAGCAAGGGGAATTGGATTACTGTGGACCAGGAAGCCGAAAGAGCATTTTGCCAGACTGACATCTCAAGAGACTCCTGTGAAGACTCTTTAGGAGTTGCAGAAAGAGCATCTTCCCTGTGTATCCCGTGCCCATTTAGTGCCCACTTAGATCCATTTCAGTGTATAGGCTACATCCTGTAGAGTTACTTTTATGCAACATACTAGACCAGGCTTTCCCAACCAGGTGCCCTCCAGATATCCTGGTTTATGACGCATATAAACCCCAGCCAGCATGGCCAATGGACAGGAGTTCCAGTCCACACCTTCTAAAAGGCCAAGGAAAGCTTTACTGGCTATTGCAGCCCATTCAAGTGAGGAACTGGATATCCTGAGAGGAATGTACTGTGAACAGCAACTAAGCAAGGCAAGGCCAATGCTAGGCTGCGTTGTTCCAGCAAAGCCCATTCGTATGAAGCAGCTAACAAGGGGCATCGGGCTTGGCTTTAGCTCCTGCTCTCCAAACATTGTACTGTCAGTGTTTCCTTTAGCTGAAGCCCAATTGCAGCTTGGGGGCAAGGTAGCCTGGCTCAGGCCTCACCTTGCCTCTTTGCTACTCTTTAGTCCACAACTGTTGTTGCTCCAAGCTCGGTGGTTTGTTACTGGGCTAAAGCAATCTACTGGAGGACATCTTGTTGCCTTTGCGCAGTCGTGCTTGACCACCACCATGCTCACCTTGGATTATCAGACATCTCAGGCCTGAAATTCTTGGCTCCTCCTAAATGGAGCCTTACTTCGCAACAGGCACATCAAAGACAGCACTAGAGCAGATCTATCACACTGCGGACTTCTTTCATGTACGACATTAACTTATGGCTTAACTTACATGTTTTTCCACAGTTGCCTGGTTTTAACATGGCAATCTGTGCTTCATAGAGAGTCAAAATTAGAGAAGTTTTGTTTTGTTTAGCCTGTATTTGGCTAAAGCTTTCAATACATTTCTCTGCATGCTATCACTGGCTACAAACTAAGGTTGCTGTATCAACTTATAGTCATTGCATGGTCTTTCATGAGGCTCTTTCCGGGATAAGGCATGAAAAATGTAACCAAATGCACCAACCGCGCCATGAATGGCACTGAGGCGGAAGAACCGTCACAAGTGTTGCTAACCTGGGAAGATTCACACACGACAGAAGTCTCTACTGCAAGGCAACCTCTCAAGTTCAAGTGATGTGCAAGGTACCCAACAGCTGCAGTTACAAAAGCTGTTTTGTGCTGTATTGCCCATGAGCACTTCTAGACCCACCTTTGCCCTCTGAAGAAGAACAGGGCAAAGCAGAGCAGTGGTGGGCCTACACTAGTTGCTAGAGCAAGAAACCCCGTGTCTACTCTTGCCATCTCACACCCTACCGCTTACCTTCGCCATGCTGATCTGTGAACTGGAAAGCCTGAACCAGGCGTAGTGTCTCATCCACTGAACGCCCCACAGGCAAGTCATTAATTGTGATCTGTCGCAAGATACCTTTGCCATCAATTATGAACAAACCTCTGTGGAGAACAAGGGCAACAATTATGCATTCATTAAGATGGATGCTCCATTATTCATTTCTGAAAAGGGCCACAGCAGAGAAGAGGAATCCTACCTGGCATTGGGACCCACCAACCAGTTCCAGGATGGAAGCTGGAATTCTCAACATTTGCACACAGACCTCTCAGATTTAGACTAGTTTAGAAGCAGGTGGAGGCAAGGACACAGGTTCTTCTAGCTAGACTAGAGTATCCCCCTTGCTATTCAGCAAAAGGAGATGGCTCCACAGCCTAGCTGGTGTGGGAGAGCATTTCTGTATCTCCTTCTTGGAGAGGTTACTACAGTTTGGATTACATGGACCCCACTGGACAGACCAAATTGGTAACAAGGATGGATTTCAAGCAGTCCTGCAGCATCAGGGATGACTAATATCTTCAATCAATCACAGGAATAAGGAGCTGAGACTTTTGGGCTAGCTATGCTGAGGTTTTGCTACTCAAAATAAAAGGATCAACACTTCCCAAGAAGCTACTGGTCATAGGCCCTTAAGGTCATATCCACAGTTAAAGTCATCCCTTGGCACTTCCAAACCTGTATGCAATGCCATCATCTTCCTTGAGGACTCCATAATCCTTGCAAATATTGTGGCTGACATCTGCCACCAGCGGGATATTTGTGGAACCCAAGCCCCCTTCCTTTCTTGGTGTATTGATCCTACAAGAAAACTGTTGTTAGTACGAACAACATTACTGTGTTTATCATCTAGATTATCTGCAAGATACTACTCTAGCTGTTCCACATTTAGAAATGGTCAAACAAATTAACCAAGAGTGTTACACCAGTAGTTCTCCCAACTTGTTGCAAAGGTTTTAACACAAGTGTCCCAGACCAAAGCTGTGTCTGCAAACTGGGCAAGCCATCTTCCTCCCAACCAGGAATTTGAATTCTCAGGGGAGACAAATGGAAGTGTTTCCAGATTAGCAATAGCCTGTCTTCTTGACCTGTGAGTGAATTGCCCCTGATGCTCCTTTAATGCTCAAAATGGATCAGGCCCGGACTGCTGTCTGTTTAGCAAGGTGGATGATAATAACTCTAGCAACAGCCAAGTTTTCCGAGATAAGGGCCGACGGAACTCCACACCCTTCAGTCAGTTAACATCTGGCTAACACCCTCCCAACATTATATCCACATACAATTCTTGTGACCCGTTCTCCAACTAGCCCTCTGTCTGAGCAGAACATTTATTTCATTTCTTGATTGTCCTATAGCCCGAGCTCTCTGGGTGGCTTACAACAATGTATAAAGCAAAACAGTAAAATAGAGCACAAAAGCCATAAAAACAAAATATTAAAATTTAAAATGGTTTGGCTTCCAGTTGTCTAACTAAAAAGATTTACTCTCTCTCACACATCTAGAATAGACTGCTGGGGGAGGGGGGGAGGGGAAGAATACAAAATAACATACAAATTGATTTCTACATGAAGCCCCTTGTGAACTTTGATCCAGTACTCAAATGTCTTGGGCTGGGCAAACTCCCAGGTGTAAACCTGCTCCTTAATCCTCAGCATATGCTCATCTGCCTCAGCAACTACTTTGCGTGAGGCCAATGGGTGGACCCCGCGGGGGGTTCTAGGAAGGAGAACCCACAACCTGAGATCTCCCCATCCTTACTCTAAATGCAGCCAGAGAGCTCCGTAATCATCCAGATTATGGCACAGCATGTTCTTCAGGAGGTGCAGTTTCTCATTTCACTGCTTCCTGTTACTAACCATTTAAGCCTGTACTAGCAACACCAGGAAACTCACCAGGCTAAGTGAGTAAACTGAGAATCCACAGAGGCACCAATCACCTCACAGTTGATCTTACGGAACTCCTCAGCTCGATCGCTGAAAGCTATAATCTCTGTGGGACAGACGAAGGTGAAATCCAGTGGGTAGAAGAAAAGAACCACGTATTTGCCTGTGTGAAAAGGATATTCATCAGCAAAGTCACAATAGTTGGAAACGCCAGCTTCTCTATTCCTGCTCAAGCTTATGTAGAAGCTGTGTGGGGAGGGCAAGGGAGAGAGGCCTGGGGTGATCTCCACAGAACCCTCAAGGTATGCTTTGTTCCTACGCCAGGATTGGTAACTTGCGGCCCTCCAAATACTTTGGCCTACAGTTCCCATACACCCTAGCTAGCATAGCCAGTGTGAAGAATGATGGGATTTGCAGTATGTCATCATCAAGGTCACAAATGGTCCACCTAGAGCCTTCTTTCCTGTTGGGAAACAAATCCCTGGCTCTTATTTGCACACTCCAACAGAACAGAAACTCATTAAGATACTACAATTAGTATCCCATTTCTACTTCGAATAAAGTCACTGGCATTTAGAACTAACGTAGGTCCCATCCATATCAATGCAGTGACTCTACATGGAACTACCCGTGGATACTACCCCTTGGTGTGGCATGGTGTCCACAGTGTCAAATGGGGACTTTGGAAATCCAGGGTCTATTCTCTACTTGACCAAGAAGTTCAGTGGGTGACTTTGGACCATCACTAATTCTTGGCCTGACCTACCTCACCGGGATTGTTGTGCAGATCAAGTGGTGAGGAGGTAGCATACATAAGCCACCTTGTGTTGCTTACAGGAAGAGAGGCAGCATATGAATATAAATAAATAAAGCAAATGACTCCTGCAACCCTCAGATCCCTAGCCACTGGGGCTTAATCGTGTGAAATCACCTCTGGACACAGACTTGGGAACACAAGCCTAACTCAAGGCTACACAGAAGATCGGGAAATAAGCTCTGTGCCTCCAAACCAGGGCATAACATAAGAATCTCTTAGCTGCTCCATAACCATCCATTTTACCAAGGCAGGCTTGGGGAACCTCTTCATTGAGTATTTATATAATTTTTCTATGAGCCCAAGAAATTCAGTGAACAGGAAACTACAAATAAATAGAAGCAGTAGCATCTCTTACCTTTGTAATCTGACAGCTTTATTTCCTTAATGGCTCCATCCACCACTGCTGTGGCATGGAAGTCTGGAACTGGCTTCCCAATATGAGCTTTACCAGAGGCCATTTTCTGAAATAAGCATAAGAGTGCAAGACTTCAATCGGCTACTGGGCTCAGCTTCTGGCACGCACACACACACACACACACACACACACACACACACTTCATACAGAATGGGTACCTTTTTTGTCCTTCTGGAAATTCAGAACCTTTCCCAGCCAATGAGAAGCTGCAACTTTAGAAAAAGAATTGCCTTTTCCAGTCCTGCACAGTGCTGTGCAGGATCCCTTTTCAGATGAGTCAGTCTGATGAACAGAAGGCTGAGCTTTTCAAGAACAAAAGATCTGTGCTTTGTGACAGTGCAGAAATTGTCTTGGTTCACATTATCATTTCCATCATGGAAGTGATAAGAATAAACATCTTAGCCTAAGCAAGTGCTACTAACCCACTAGCTGGTAGACATTCCACCATCTTTTAAAACCTATTCCAGTTAGCTTAAGGGCAGTCACTGTTGGGTTGAATCGGATAAGCAGTATCACCAATGTATCTATTACAGAAACTGGGGCGGGGAGCAGTATGGTACAGCCTTCCCAACTTGGTGCCTTCTGCATCTACTGGACTGGAGTTCCCATCACTGGCAAGCAACATGGTCAATAGCTGAGGGAGCTGGAGTCCAACAGATCCTGGGGCGCCTGGCCAAGGAAAGCAGGCACAATGCATTCATCACCTTTCTGAATGCCACATTCCATCGCCTGGTAAAAGGAGTTTGGAGAAAAGCATGTGCTTTGAGGTACATTCAGTATCAGCTGAGATCAAATAGTTTCTTCTCCCTCACTATCGGCCATTCTAGTTGGGGCTGATGGAAGCTGAAGCCCCGAATACCCAGCGGTCACAGGCTGAGCACGACTGCTTTAGGAGTTTCTCTCATTACACCCATTCACTTTAATACCATGCCAGTGTGGGGGTGAAAACCTCTTCCAGAAGCCAAGTCTCATTATCCCACAAGCCCCTTAAGGGTCCGCTTGCCTTCTGGCAAAAGGCCAGTATTTTGGGCGTGTGCAAGGGCACAGTACTGTACATGAGGCTTTTGCAATGATAAACCTGAGTTGCTTGCAAGCAGCAGCATGTTTGGTCATGAAGATTAATGCTAGGAAATTAAAAGCTACAACTAGAAGCAAACCGTAAGAAGTACTTGTCAGGTACTGTGGGGTGCTACCATACCTGGGTTCATGGCAACGTCAGTGACAGACCCAAATGGCACTAGTCTATTAATAAGTTGTGCTCTCTAGTCAGGCTAGAGGCAAATGCAGTTTGTTTTCCACAGCAACAACCAGAGAGATAGTATTTCAACAGAATGTAAAGCCAGACCAAGCAAGCACTAGAATGGCAAAGCTTAAGAAATTCATTCTCCTTTTCCTACAGTTCAGATCAACTCAAAAGAGTCCTGCATGGCAACTGGGGCAATGACCAAGTATATTTATACAGCATTTCCCAAGCAAGACTGTTTTCCAAAGCAGCTTACAATTCACGTTCATAAAAAGATACATGCTCTTGTATGCAGCACATACAGTACAAAAGAAAGAGGATGGTCATTTGCATGTAACTCAGCTTATATATTCTCTGCATCTTGGGTTTCTCTTGCCATCATCTGACTAGATAATTCTTTCTATGTGTTTTAACTAAAGCCTATAGTTGAATCTTAAAATGAAAAAGGCTTCATTCAGTATTCTGACAACGACAAAAAGCTGTTCAGCCTCAATAAACTGACAAGATCCTGACAAGATAGAGGTGCTGCTAGTATGGGGGTCATCTGACAGGCTGGAGGGGCACTGACCTGTCCTTGATGGGGCTGCACTCCCCCTAAGGGACAGGGTCCGCAGTCTGGGGGTGCTTCTGGACCCGGGTTTGTCCCTGGAATATCAGGTGAGCTCAGTGTCCAGGGGTGCTTTCCTCCAGCTACGGAGGTTATACCAGCTTCATCCCTACCTGGGCAGACAGAGCCTGAAAACAGTCACCCATGCATTGGTAGCACCCAAAATAAATTACTGCAATGCACTCTGTGGGGCTGCCCTGGAAGATGGTCTGGCAATTACAATTGGTACAGAATAGGGCCGCTCGGTTGGCCAGGGGAGCCCCTAGAGCGGCCCACATAACACCTCTATTGAAAGATCTCCATTGGTTACCAATTGTGGCCTGGGCCCAATTCAGGATGCTTGTGCTGGTCTATAAAGCCCTAAATGGCTTAGGCCCCAGTTATCTTAGGGAGTGCCTGCTCTCATATGGGCCGACCTGGTCCTTGAATCTACGCAGGGGGCCCTCCTGTGAGCCACCCCTTAAGAGGCGAGAGGAATGGCTGCTCAGAGGAGGGCCCATTCCGCAGCTGCTCCCCATATCTGGACTGCTCTCTCCAAGGAGATTTGCTTGGCGCCTTCTTTGCATTCTTTTCAGCACCAAGCAAAGACCTTCCATTTGATCTTTGTTTTGTATTTCTTCCTGTATTTTACTGATATTCTATTTTTAATATGATGTAATTGGTTTTTATTGTGTTTTTATTTTGTGAATGTGAGCTGTCCAGAGATGCTGTGGCACAATTGGACAGCATACAAATGTTTTAAATAATAATAATAAATAATAATATTCTACACAATGAATTTTCAAATACTGCATTATCTTTTAGGGCCTAATACTGGAGAGGGAGGAGCATACTTGATGTTCGTTCACAATTCACCCAACATTCCAGCTTCTGGTAGGCCTTTAATATTGCTGAGCGCTCTAGCACCCCTGCCCAATAATGGCTTAGTGGCCAGAAGTACAGACTAACACCACAAACTGGGCAACAAAGATGACCTTCCTCAAGATGGACCAGTGACTGTTAGGTGAAATATTTCATATCTACCAATAGACTGCATGTGTAAGATAGCCAAAGCTTATCACAAAAACAGTGCTGCTAACTCTGACTTGCAGTCACTACCCGTGGGCTCCCACAAACATTGCTCACTAGTTACTGGGAAAAGCCATTTGAACAGCCAACATTTCAAACCAGCACATGCACTCACCACTATTGTTCTAATGATATGTGACAGGAGAAAGCAGGATTTGTCACTCACATAAGTGGCTATGCAGAAGCCCCAGTTTTAGAAGACAAGCCCCTTCATCTTATGATCTCTTAAAGAGAACACACAATTCCAACTTCCTTAGATAAGAGATATAAGAACATAAGTGAAGGCCAAAGTTCCATCTAGTCCATCACTCCATCCCCAAGTGGCCAACCAGCTGACTACAGGATCCCTCCAGCAGGATGGGCACAAGTCCTCCTCCTGCCCAAGCTCCTCAGCAACTGGGGTATGTAGGCAGGCTTGCCACCTCCACTAAAGGAGGCAGCACATGGCCAGCAAGGCTAGCAACCACTGATAGCCTCTTCCCCCATGAATCTACCAAATCCCTAGATCGGTGAGCATCACCACTTCCCATAGGAGCAAATTCCACACTTTAACTACTCACTGTATGAAGTACTTCCTTTTATCTGACCTAAACCTCACACCAATCAGCTTAGCAGGATGACCCTGGTTCAAGTGTTATCTGAGAGAGAAAAATGTCTTCTTTTCCACTTTCTCCACACCATGCCTTATTTTAACCACCTCTATCATGTCGCCCCTTACTTGCCTTTTATCTAAGCTGAACAGTCCCAGTTGATTAGCTGCTCCTCATAGGGGAGCTGCTTCAGACACTAGATCATTTTTGGTGCCCCCTTCTGTACTTTTCCCAACCCAATCATGCCTTTTTTCAGGTAAGGGGACCAGAACTAAACACAATTATTTCAAGTGCAATTGCACTAAAGATTTGTATAACGGAGCTAAGATCTTGGCAGTTCTATTTCCTAATTATGCCTTGCATGGAGTTTGCCTTCTTCACAGCAGCTGATCACTGTGCTGATTTTTTCATTGAATTGCCCACTCTTACCCCCAGATCCATTTCTCGCTCAGTCACTGCTACTTCCCCTCTTACGTTTTTAGTAACAGAGACAAGACTCTTAAGAGGATGTTCTTAGGAGTCAGAATGCATACCAGATATTTTTTGCTGTTCCCCATATGTGCATTATTTAAGACAGAGTCAGAAGATCTCATGCCGTTTGTCTGGCCTAAAAACGCAGCCTTTGTTTCCTCCTGGAATCCAACGCTAGGGTTACAACCCATTCTACCACTTCTAGCCCCATTTTCAAGATCCATGTCCCCTCCCCCTGCTTTAAGCAAGAGTCCCACAGTTCTCATGATCATTTCACTAGACTTAGGAGCTCAGATCGAGAGCCAATCTGTCCTGCAACGAACAAGGTTTGAAGCAACAGTGAATCTCAGACTAGGTTCTGCAGGATATTTTGAGGAGAACGGGAGAGAAGGAAAAGGAAAAACAGTAGAAGAGGGGTTGGGTCGACTAAGCCTTGAAGTCGAATTCCCGGGGAAAACAGAGGCAGACACGCTGCTTCCCCCACCTCGCGGTACCGCCTGGAACACAAAGAAAAGTCTTGCCACCCGGGTGCTGAGGACACAATGGTCGGCATTCAGAGCGCCTTCGGGTGGGAGAAGCAGCTTTCGGAAAGGAGATTAGAGGAAAACCGATGAATTGTGTTCTTTGCACCCCGGCCTTATTCCAGTGCAAGATCCCTCCCACTATTCCAGTTAAGCCTTCAGAGCAAAGGTGCAAGTTGTGCAAAGACCAGCAACCAGAATCAAAGGAACAGATAGATGCTTAAAGCATCAATCCGAGACAGAAAGGGGACAACCCTTCGACGCCCATATTGCAGGCTAATGGCGGGGAGAGCAAAACGCTTCAGGCCCTCGGCTCCACAGCAGGCCTCGTAAGGGTCGCAGCCCCATGCTCGATGCAGCAAAGCCGCATAAATGCCCCGCGCGAAGCCCTGCGGGCCTCTGCCGCTGTCCCTACCTCTGTGTCCGCGCAGAGCCGTCAGCAAACAGCACCGAACAAAATACACCGCGCACCGCGAGCAGGGGGCGTGGCGCAGGCAGAAAAAAACCGCAGCGGCTGCAGCCTTTTATCCCCGGCATGCTGGAAGGGGGCTGGTTAGGGCGCGCGGGGGCGGGGCGTGCTCGGGACGCCTTCTCTAGCCGGGGGCGGGAGTGCCCCGCTCCTTTTCCCGTGGCGCCTTAAAGGAAGAATTTGGTTCGGTAACAAAACATTCCGCCCCCAAAATATGAGCCTGTTGGTGAGTCGAGGCACCCGTACTGTGGGATGCTTTCTATTCTCCAACCCCATCCTTCCTGACTGGATCCGTGTTAACTGAAGATACACGAGAGGCACACGTTCAACGGGTTACACGTTTGCCTTTACCAAGGGCATAAAAGTCGGAGACAGGCAAACCTCTTAGCACTGAATCTGTACTACAGGGGAAAATTATATTCGTTGGAGCTCTGCTTCTTGCCAGAAAAAATGCAAGCATTTGTATGAGACCGCATTCATGCTTCAAAAGCGCGTTGTGAACAATATTTCTATAGCTGCGGGTCGCAAGTTTGCTCTCAAATCACAAACTACAATTCCCAGAAGGCAGCGCGCTCCATGTGCTTTAAATTTCCTGTGCTTCGCTTCCCCGGCTGCTTTCAGAGCGCGCGCGAAGATGGATTTGAGCGCCTACGAAAGAGACAATTCAGTGAATTGTTTGTTGGCCTCAGAAGTGCCTGCCATTTGCCGGACCGAGCCCTGCAGCCTGGGAATCGATGAGGCGGGCAGGGGTCCAGTGTTGGGTACGGGCCTCGTTATAACGGGGGAAGAGAAGAGGGGAAAACGTTTAATGTCGGTACTGAATTCAGTCCCAAAAATAGCAAAGCGTGTGGGTAGGTGGGTGTGCTACGTATTTATCCTTAATATTCACGTGCCTTCGCATGATTCATGCGATTTCCATGGTGGTCGCAGTGATACAGGCTCAGTGCCTTGTCATTTAAAATGGGAATAATAGTAAATAAGCTCAGGGAGTGATTGTGAGGATAAACTAGATAGAAATAGCAAGACATTCTTGTAAAAATTGTAGCTCATGCCCTGATTGCAAATCTTGTTTTTTCATGTGTGTGCCACTATGTTTTGATTCAGATGCAGTCTCAACATCCCTCACCAAGAGCTCATACAAGAGTCGTGTGAGCTTTTGGTGACTGTAGAAGAGAATTCTGTGATGAATTTCCCTTTGTGAAGCCATTTTTACCATGTGGCTGTAATTACAATAATGCTTAAGCCATAGTTTTAGGTGTGTTTAAGCAGAAAGAAGACCTACAGCTCCATGCTGAGAATTGGCAGGCCTTTTTCCTGTCTAAACATGCACAGGATTGTATCTTTAGTGTTGAAAATCTTTGGACTGCCCAAAGCAGTTGTATCTTGTTGTAACCATCATAACAACCCTATAAAGTAGACTAATATTCCCTTATATTGCAAGCTAAGAGTGAGTCACTTGTATTGGTTTCTGTTTTCTTTCCAGGTCCCATGGTCTATGGAATCTGTTACTGTCCTGTGGTCCGGCAGGGCGATCTAGAAACAATGAAGGTAGCAGGTAAATGAAGCAGCAAGGGGCACCAGTTGGATTGGCGGTGAAGCTGTACAAAGCGAGAGGGGAGCCAGCCACTCTACTGGGTTCCCCATCCAGCCACCCTTGGTAGCAGGTGTCAAACATAACTCAATCTGTATTCAGTGTGGGCCATATGTGTCTGAGAGTTTGCTTGTTTTTTTTTCTTTTCTTTTGCTTATAGATTCCAAGACTCTGACAGAAATTCAGCGGGAAGAACTCTTTGAGAAACTGGATGATGCCAAGGATTCTGTAGGCTGGGCCCTTCACATCCTCTCACCTAACTTCATCTCTAATAGCATGCAGAGGCGGTGAGAGGGCTGGGAACAAGGGATCCTGAGAGATTAAGAAGTCACTAGAACAGGCATGGGCGGAAACTAGATCTCCAAATGTTTTATATTTCAGTTCCCAGCATTCCTAGTCATTTTTGCAGGAGCTTGTGGGAACTGTAGTCCAAATATCTGGAGAACTACCTTTTGCCATCCCTGCACAGGAACCACAGATACAAAACGATGGCAACTTTCCCCCAAGATGATTGGTTTACTGGCCCTGATGGGAAATCAACTTCCTGTGCTGCGTTGTTCTGAGTCCACTTTAGTGTCACAATATATATTGGTGAATTTTTTGCTTTGGACCAGGCTGCCGTACAGCCAACCTTGGGTAGCCTCTATGGGCAATCTGTTTCTGAAGCAGAGCAAAAGAGGGCTGGAAATCTGAAACTTCCCTCCCACCTTACATGTCTTAGAATTAGAAAAGTTAGACTGTTCTCATGTACGATTGGGAAAATAGCACTTGTGTGTGTGCTTGCCTAAATAGCATCCTTCCTTTGTATTACGCTATCCCTGAGACTTCTTTTTCTGTATTACTGGCTGTGCCATACCAACACACCATTCTCCTTGTGGCACCAGGTAAAATTGCTGCAGAATTGGGATTTGAATTCCTGTTTGCTGGGAGAACACTGCAGCTGCTGTTACTGATGTGCAAAAGGCAGCAGCTTTCTCTTTTGATTGCCATTAACAAGCTGATCCTGGTAAAAAGGGCATTCCCTTAGATTGCCAGACCACCTTTTTCCTGATGTTGCATTTGTGAGTGCCTGTATCTTCCTTTTCCTTCCAGAGCAAAGTACAATCTGAATGCACTTTCACATGACACAGCCATTGGCCTCATCCAGCATGCACTAGACTCTGGAGTACAGGTTTCAGAGGTGAGCCAGCTCAGCACCCTAGGACTTTGCAGGAAGTAGCAAGAAATCGCAACTCTTAACAGTCTTTATGACTCCTTCTTCCTGCAGGTCTTTGTTGACACAGTGGGACCAGCGGACAAGTACCAAGAGAAACTAAAGCAACATTTCCCTGAGCTGGAGGTTACAGTGAAGCCCAAAGCAGACTCCCTCTTCCCTGTTGTCAGTGCAGCAAGCATCTGTGCCAAGGTGAATGTCCTATATAGGGGCTCTGCATCCCCACCTCGCTATGTGTACTGTTACCCTGTGAGATGCACACTCCACAAGCCTTAACAGCGAAATGGACCTTCCATGGGACAAAGCAGGATGCCTCTGTTCACCAGGACCAAGCCATGGGGGCAGCCATCGCTGCCGTGTGATGAAATGCAGGATAGTCTAACATTCTGGAGACAGAGTGGACGTTTGATCCAGTGTAGGAAAGCAATTCCTATACTCTTGTTTATTTCTCATCATGTTCTTTAGGTAGCAAGGGACCGGGTGGTAAAGAACTGGAAGTTTGTGGAAGATCTGGAAGATGTGAACATGGATTATGGCTCTGGCTATCCCAATGGTAAATTCCACTCATTTTGCCTCACTCAGGTGCAGAACCCTCTCTATAAATTTGCAGCCACAAGACAGAGTGATGGTCTCTAGCTTGGGTACTGTAAAACAAGATTAGACAAACCCAAGAAGCATAAATGTTGAGTGTTAAGGGCTCCAGCCCACCATGTCCTTTTCCAAGTTCTTCTGTTCTATTCCTGCTCACCCATCCCTTTTCTACCCCACCCCATAGCAATCAGTCCTCACTTGCCTGTTGATTTCTCCCCACTGTAAGACTTCTCCCCTGCTATTTTTTATGCTTGTTATTTTCCAGACCTGCTGTTAACTTCCCTCATGCATGAATAGTACCATTCTGGCTTTATAAAGACCTGACTTAGAGAATGAGTTTGCTATTAATATATGTAGAATGGATAAATGTTGCCCTGGAATTCAGAGGCAGCATGAATTGTGTTGCTTTAGCTCTCTGCTTGTGAGTTTCCCAGATGTATTTGGTAGATAGTGAGACCCAAGATGTCAAACAAGATAAGCCTTTGGTATGATCCAGCATGGCTTTTCTTATGTCCTGATGAGGAGTACAGAACATGCAATAAGCCAAGTTTACTTTTGACTGTTGCATTGCCTACATGTTGTTACTTTTTTGTTCTGCTCTCAATTTTAAATTATATTTTTAGTTAATGTACCTGAATGGGTTTTCCTCATGAGACTGTCATTGTTAGGCATCCTTTGCTCTTTCTTCCTCATCTTATTAGGATGGGCAGTTATGCTGCCAGGAAGTTGCTGTTCTGTTTATTCCATGGGTAAACCACAAGGACTACATTTCCTCTCCATGCACCTCAGATGTGATGAGCAGCAATTGTAACAAGTGCAGTGTCTTCTGTGTCTCTTTCCAAGTACAGGAGTGGGTGGAGGCAGAACTGAGAGGTGTTCTAACTCCCCGAGAGGTCTTTATCCCAACCTCTGCTCCTTTCCCAGAGCTAGCCAGGGAACCTGGGAATCCAGACTGACCTAAGTACAGAAGAATAGCCGTGCTGGATCAAACCAAGGGTTCATTTAGTCCTACATTCTGCTTGCACAGCTGTCAACAGGAAATCCATGAGCAGGAGATCAGTGTAACAGCACTCTGAGACTCAGAAGTAGGGACAACACTGACGACTAGTATGCAAGGAATCTCAGTTATCCATCCCTTTTCTCCTTCAGATCCCAAGACAAAGGAGTGGCTCACACAGAATCTGGACCCTGTCTTTGGCTTCCCGCAATTTGTACGTTTCAGCTGGAGCACAGCTCAGACCATCCTGGAGAGCAAAGCTGTGCCTGTTTGTTGGTATGTAGGGAGGGAAAAGGAATTGGATCTTGACTATTAGATGTAGCTTAAAACAGGAGATGATGATGATGAACATTGTGTTTATATGCTGTCTTTTCTGTGCTTATGAGAAACCCAAGGTGGCCTATCTAGTCACCTTCATTTTATCCTCACAGTAACAACAGCCCTCTGCGGTAGATTAGGCTGAGAGTGAGCAACTGTACCAAAGTCACTAGTGAGCTTCATGTCGGATCTCCCCTGTCCCCAGTTCAACACTGTCGCCACCATGCACACTGGATTAAGAGGACCATGGGGCATCGGAGGAACAGCATCTGCAGCTCGTGACATGCCGCAGCTTCCTCCTGTTCCATGGGAGAGAAAAGACTTTCTGTAGGGCAGCAGATGAGCAGGGAGGGCTGTCGGGCCAGAAACGCATGGTCAGTGGCCCTACCAGAATGACTGGGCAACACATGGGTACATGGGAAGGTGCTCTCTACTGAGTCAGGGCAATGGTCTTCCTAGCACGGTACTATCCACACTGGCTGGCCAGGATGGCGTGCTGGGGGGTCAGGCCTGAGTTCTTTCAGCCCTGCCGGGAGCTGCCTGTGATTGAACCTGGGACCCTCTACATGCAAAACATGTGCTCTGCCACTGGGCTTTCTCCTTGCAGAGATGCAGTAAAAATGGGTGGCTAGAAAAGAGAGAGGCAGTGAAGCGTCCAGGCTTCTGTGCAAGTCAGGAACTGGGGAGCAGGATTGTTTGAGCTGTAGGGGACTGCTGAGCATCTGTTGGGCCCTTTAAGTCCCTTCTTTAGAAAACTCAACCCTCTGAGCAAGGGCATGTCCCCTCCATCAGATTTTCCCTTCAAGGCTGGCTTGCCCTGCTAACTCCCAATGTCTTGCTGTCTGGTCGAGGAAGCACTGCACAGTTCACTCTAGCTTTTGGCATCAGCTAATGCGGTCAGGACTCTTTTTGCTGGTTCTCTCAGGCCCGGGTAACGCTGAGTGACTTCCCCATTTGAGCCCAAGGAGCTGCTGGCATCGCCCCTGCCTTCCATCTGAGCATACTGACCTTGGGAGGCATGCGAGATGCTACAGGAGCAGCTGGGGCTGCAGACATTTCCGCTAGTTAGATAACAGGAATCTTGTACTATCTTGTTGAGGGAAGTAGGGCAGGATACTTTGGTGATGCTATTTGTCACCTGTGTTTTTGGAGCAAGTGGCCAAGGCTGGGATCCAAGACCAATGGGTGTAACTTTGAAAGGGGGGGGGGGGTGATAGAATGCAATATGAGAACAGGGGAGTGGGAGAAGTTGCCATACCCAGATCCTTCACTGCTCCCCTTATTTTGCTTCTATCTCCAGGGCTGATACTGAAGATGACCCATCGCAGAAAAGTGCCCAGTTCCTGCTGAGCTACTTTGCTCGGAAAGACACCCCCAACAAACGCCCTTCTCACCGTTTCTTTTATGAACGCAAACTTGAGACGGTGACTAGCCTGTGAGGAAGCGGGAGATCATGGCTTTATTGGAGGAATCATCACCTTGCTTTGATGTCACAGGAAACTTCACATTTGTGTTTTAATTGGAGGTTGTAAATTCTTTGCAGCTGTGACTCAAAAATGAACATGGGAGCAGAAGCATAAAAAACAGGTGCAGGACCTGTTGCAGAAAGCCCCCTTTGGCAGCCTTGTACTTCAGTGGTCTGCTTCTTTTTATTTAATAAACTGAAAATGGAAAATAACCAATCGGGGTTCCTGGTTCTTGATACCCCTTGAGCAAGTTACCTGCAATGGCTCTCCTTCCTCAATCAATCCACCTTCTCGCCACTGCTGCTGCTCCTTACCTTCTCTCTCATCGCTGCTGCCTCTTCCTGATAGAGGCAGTGAGCAGAGACATCTGCCACTGCTCCTCTTACCACCACTATTACCTGGGCAGTTGAATTAACAAATTGCAGTGATGAAGAGGAGCAGCTCCAGGGGATTGTTGTCAGTGGGTCCTTGCTGGACAGTAAGCCCTTAGCAAACACTCAGCCATACCAATCCTAAAAACAAGAAAAACTGGAAGGTCTTTTGGGTATGTTGATGGCTGTTGCCAGGGGTGCCTAGTAAGAGCAGACCAAAAAGGGATTTAGGTGCAACTATGTCTGCCTGCAAGTGAAGGAGCACAATTTTAATGACATCAAGTAGTGAGTGATACATAAAGCAAAGGAAAATCTCCCCTTCAGTCCGGTCTTATTTACTCCAGTGTGGCAATTGCAGTGAACTTCCTTGGTGAGAAAATTCAAGCAAAGTTGCAAATCTGTTTGGACTGGAAATGGCACATAATGTGCATTTGAAGCAGGGCTACTTACAGCCATTAAGGCGTGAGTAAAACCATTAGTGAGCCCTCCTTAGGTAAGACACTGGTGTCACCTTGCTTGTCCTGCTCAGCCCATTCTCCCAAGTGTTTAGCTGTAGCTGGGTGTCAATGTTTCAGAACAAAGGTGAGAATAAGTTGTAGTGTCCAGGAGTGTGGACTGAAAAACCTGTAAGTAAACTCATTTCAACCATGAACTCATCTCAATTGTTAGTTGTCTACAATTTGAGAGTGGCATTTATTTATTTCCCATGCTGAAGATTAATCTGACTCACTGTGCTTAGCACCGTTACTGCTTTTGATGACAAGATGGAGCTTGCCTCCATTGAGGGGCGGCATCTTCTTCTTTTAGCTGACTGTTACTTATCTCTTTGGCCCAGCTGTCTCCTCTCTCAACTTGTTCCACCCTTCCCAACAGTCAGCACCATCTCCCTCCGATCCCTTTCCTTAAACAGCTCTGCTTGGAGAAGCCTCCCATTTTCAGTTTAGCAAGCAACTGTCATTTTCTTTTTCTTCCTTCAAGACCTTCCTTAGCAAAGCCTCTCTTGAACCAAGTCAGCATTACCTTATGTCAGCAGCAGGTAATATCCCTCCAGATGTTTTGGACAGTAACCAAAATCCCCTTTGGCTGGCCACGTTGGCAGTTGCTGCTGCTGTTAGGAGTTGTAGTTCAAACCATCTGGAGGGTTTCAGGTTGGCTACCTGTCCCTCAATTGCGCCATTGTCGTATCTGTCTGAACAAGCTGCATTCTTTGCCTTTCTCCCCTTTGGGCAAAAGGTGTATCACTTATATCACTGTGTAGCACCACTGGAATGTTGTCTTGCCCAGTAGTAAATCTGTTAGGTACTTGAGCAGGAACAGTTCCGAGCAAGGATAGGGTCAGAGGTAGTAAGTGGAACAATGGTAAAACTTCTGTTTTAGAGAGAACTAGGAGTTGTTCCTTCCTCATCACAAATGTTCCATGTGTAATTGTTGGCACCGTAAATGGAAAACAAGACACCTTGAGGTATGAATTGAAAACTTGCCTCCAATTGAGCTCCCTCCCTCTCTTTCCTGTTTCCTCTGAGTTAGGTTGGTTATTTTGTACAGCATGCAGCGTTCTTTTCACAGCTGTTCCTGTTCTTGCTAATGGTCCAGGTTATAAGGCAGCCATATCCTAGCTGTAAATCTCTTTACATATTCTTTACACACACACGCTTTTTAAATTTTCCAACAGGTATTAATAGGACTGAACCAATGCATAGTACAATGCCACAAATATGGCTGAGGGTGAACAAGCAAGAGGAACATGAAAAGGTGCTGATAACTTACAGCGTAACTATTATTGTGGATTGTATTACCGAAGGAATTCGCATAGTGTCCATACAAGAATACACGGGTAGGTTAGCCTGGTGAAATTCAAGGACAGCTGCAAAAAATGGCAAGGTACAAGGACTTGGGATTTCTGACCCCCACATCCCTCATGAATACAGGACACAGAAACTTTTTCAGGCTGAGGGCTAGATTCTGGTCGTGGGTGGGATCAAAATACAGAAATCCCAGCATGTTTTAGATTAAGGGTCTTAACTGGCAATAACTAAGTCTTGGAGGATTCAACTCAACCATTTAAAATGGAGCTGTGGGGAAGCTACACAAAAGGCAAGAAACCACAGGAGGATAGGTAGCTGGAGAAAGCGGGCTGGCTGCATTTGGACTCAAGGCTTGTGGTTCTGCATACCTTTAGGTGCTTTTCCACCATGAACAGATGCAACATGGCACTGACCGCTTTCTTGTTGGTCTGCATTTTTGTACACAGTGTTTTCCCTGACATGCACATTAGATTGTACATTGATATCACCTAGCTTTGTAAAACCAGTGAATAATCTGCCCGCTTGTGTGTGCCTGCCTGAAAGTTAAACCCACTGCTGGATGTGAGCAGACGTAACACAGCAGCTATCTATCCTCAAATGGCAGCTTTCTCAAAGCCTGCGGTGTTCTGCTAAGCCACTTGCGCAGCTCTCTCGCCCCACCTAATGGCCAGTGTTTTTTCCATCGCCTCTTCTGTGTAGAGCTCAACAGGCCTCGCGTTACGGCTCAGTCCGACAGGCCACTGCACTAGCAGCAGTAGGGGCTTACCTTCTGCAGATTATATCAGATTTGTTTTCAGTGCAAACAATCCCTCGCTCTTTCAAGAATGTTCCCTTACCACAGCCTCTGAGGAGCTCCATCACCACTTCCCTTTGTGCCAGAGGGGGACCAGATTGAGGACTGCTCAGGCCAACTTAGGGAAGGGCACAAAGGGGGAGTGATTAGAAGAGGAAAAGCAGGGCGTTGGGAGTTAAGGAATTACAGCAATGGATCTCAACCTCACCTTTCTACCTGTACAAAATGGAGAGCTTAGGGAAACTGGTGGCTGGGAATAGGCTCCCAGGAAATGAAGGTGCCCTGGTGGTTGGGGTGGGAATAAACTACTGCTACAGCATGGGACCCAGAGGCCTGCTAAGGTACCAGATTGGCATCCTGTGCCCCATGATAATATACCAAATTGCACAGAGCTAGACCAGATGGCAAGAAGCTGATAAAATGGGACATGAAAGATTTGCATAGATCACAAGCGATCCCCCCAACCCCCGCAATCAAGGGGAGGGGGTTGTTTTTCCTGGGGAGTGTGGCTGCCTCCGCTCAGAACCCACTCCCACTCCCCTCCACATCTTCCATGAAGACGGAGCGCTTCTGCGTGTCCCTTCTCAGGCGACGCATCAGCAGGCTGCCTGTGCAGATCCCCCGGGGGCCAATGCGGCCTTCTCTCTCGCCACCCTCCTTTGTGGTGTCAGACTCTTCCACGCTGTCACTGTCTTCAGGGTGGGAATCGGAGGCTGCGAAGGCTCGGTCGGAGGCCGTCAGTGTCAGGCACTCACAGGGATCCGTGCTGACAGTGAAAGAATCATCCCAGATAGCCTCACACAGCTCCTTTCCATCTTTATACATCTGAGGAAGGAAAGAGGGTCTATGGTTAGGAAAGCGAGAGACTGTTCCTTCGAGGCTCTGCTCTAATCCAGCTCTGACTTGGCACTTGACTAGTGCAGATTCCTCAGAATGGAAGACCAAAGAAGCACCCTAGGAGTGATGAGGTACAGGATGGGCCCCAGGATGATGCAAGGGATACAACACCCAGAAGGCACCTGCTTAGGGAAAGCTACTCCAGAGGGAGTTGCCTGGAATCTAACCTGGAATCTAATCTATCCTTCCCACAGAAGAGAGTCTGTTGCATCTTGCTACTAGGAACTGGCTGCCTGTGATCTCCCCTCTACTCTGCAAAAACCAGTTCATTTGCTAGGTCATGGGTGAGGGACAGTTGGGGTGAAGGCTCTGCCTGCTCATTGAGGCTGGATGCAAGGGAGGGACTGGTTGCCTGGCTACAGTCCAAATGAGATGAGGTACACTCTCCAATAGGAGTGGGCCTAGTTGTAAGATCCTCGGGGGAGACCCTTCTCTCTGTCCTGCTGTCATCAGAGGCACATCTGGCAGGGAGGGCTTTCCCACGAGCTGCTCCCAGTTTCTGGGACTTCCTGGGTCAGGGAAGTCATCTCCACCCTTGTCCTTCCTCCAGCAGGCAGAGATATTTTTATTCAGACAGCCTTTGGGTCTCTCAGCTGATGTGCTGCTGAAGGTGGTTTCATACCAGTGGCTGCTACTATAGCAATGTATTTTTACAAGCAAGTTTTCATGCTGTAATTATAACGTTATTTTATTGTTAGTCACCCTGAGTGTGATTTTTAGTGGAAAGGTAGAACTAAGTAAAATAATGAGTCATTATGTGACTTATTCCGACTTCAGTGTGCTTGTTTTAGTAATATCTATACATCTATTTCCATAAGCAATGCTACTACAAGAAGCGATGCTTTGTTGATGTAGCTCGATTTCTAAAATGAGAGTTGAGGTCCCTCTCCCCACACTGTCTCTCCCCCTGGGGGTACAGAAAATAGTTGCTATATTTCTGTGGCACGCTGCAAATCATTAAAAGCAGACTTTGCTTCATAAATGAAGTTCAACTCATGGTGTGAGGAGGGTGTTAAAACTACAGCTTCACCGAGAGAACACCCAGCACCACCTACTTCTACAAATCCTGCTCCGTATGAGGGAAATGAGGCAAATGGGCCTGACACTGCCACCCTGCCAGACAGATTCTACCCATTTCCTTTGGCAAGTTTCCAGCCAAGTTGTTGCTCTCTAGAAAGACTGGGACTCCTGTCTCAAGGCATGAGCTATGCTGGCTGCCCCGAGGTGCAGCATGACTGATTCCATGCAAGGTCACCAGTATTTAGCAGGCCTTTGCTTCCCCGGCAGGGGTAGAGACTGAGGCCTGTCACGGGGATTCCCACAAGGTACTCTACATCTCTTGGCTCGAGGGCTTTGGAGTTGCAGGAGGGAGAGTTTATTTCTCAGTCAAAAGGTTGGCAGAGAAGCATAGATTAAGATTCTGGACTTTGAGGATGCCAGTACATGGGTGGGGAATTCTACTAAAGCAAATGACACTTGCCACTATATGTACATGTTTGGACACATTTTCTCTTGCTTCCCCACCTTCCATCAGAAATGCTTCAATTTTACTTTAGATTTTAAGCCTTCTCACTCAAATACTGGAAATGTATCCAATAGAAACATGAGGTTTTCTATACAGGTCCTAAAGCCGAAATTATAATCACGTCTTCGACAAAGTTCTTTCAGTAAACTCTCATCAGCCCTAAGCATCACAGCCCACAAGGGGAATTGCAGTCCATTGACATTTGGAAGGCTCCATTCCTGTTGCAGTTTGGAAAAAAATGCTTCCTAAGAACACTTTGAGTCCTCTTCTGTATATTTAAACCTCCTCCTCTCAGTCATGGCTTAGTATAGGAAGCTGCTTGCTTGTCTGCACAATTTCTGAGCTGGAGTTGAGGAGGAGGAGAAAGAGCAGTCATCCTGTGGATAATTCTCCCCTTTATCACCCTCACCTGGCCATAGGAGAGGCAGTCACGACTGCAGTTATTTCCTTCAGGTCCCCAGTGCCAGTCCGTAAGCCAATTACGAGCACAGGTCAGGTCTTCCTTGCAAGCTTCATACCTGAGGTGATAATAGACTGGGCAGTCAGGAATGCAGCACAGTTCACATTGTTTTAATACAATTCCCACCTTTCCTCCAAGGTGCTGAAGCTGTGCACAAAGCTGGCATCAAGGGTAGGCATGATTGGCACCTGGCAAGAGCACACAGCTATTGATGAGCGGGATGGTGCAAACTGGGGACCTGCAACAGCAGGAGGTTGCACTCAATGATCTTCTTGGTCACTTCCAGCTCTACTATTCTACGGTTCTATAATTTACAAGAATCATACAGTTCGAAGGAGCCTAGAAGGCTGTCAGGTCCAACCCTCTGCTCAGTGCAGGACTCAGTCTCCTATCCAGGCCTGACCCTGCTTAACTTTCAAGATTAGGAACGATAAGGCAAAGCCTACAGGCTTGATCCTCCTTTTCACCATTGCAGCCTGCTTGATCACCTGCTTCTCTGCTCTGGTAGCTGCCATCGCCTGCATGCCCATGGGATCTTTGCCTGGCAAGCTACAGGTGGCAGACATGATGAAAGGAGCAACATCAGGTGACTGGCTGGCGAGGAGGTCGAGTCACCAGACCAACAAGGTCCACTGAGGGTGTCCTGCCCAGGGGCTGTCAGAAACCAGAAGCTGGAACTGAAGAATGTCAAAAAGGTTTCAAGGGAATATGCAATCTAGCTCAATTTTGCACCAACCTAGATGTTTCTGGCTTGCTTATTTCAGAATACGATGAGCATAAGAAAGATGCAAGTTGTCAGATACTGTTTCTCCAGTTAAAGTATGTTAAACTGATGGAGTATTGGTTTTTCCAAATTATGAAGGGCTCTTAAAGGGTCCATGGGGGAAGTATGTCTCTCAACCCTTGTAGTTCTTAATGACATAGCATTTTGTTTTATACCACTTATAATGCAATCATGTGTATGTTTATTCAGAAGCAAGCCCTACTTTATTATTTTAATATATAAAATATATTTTCCAAGTAAGCATTGAGTAGGATTACCATCACAGCTGGATTTCTGTACATACACTTCAGTACCTTAACTCATCCTTCCCATCCCAGTGCCCTCCAGGTGCCCTGGATGACAACTCCCAGCCAGAATAGCTGGTAGCTAAGAATGTTGGGAGGTGTAGTCCAACATACCTGGAAGGTGCTAAACTGGAGAACACTGCCTTACTTTATGTTAAGGACACAGCCACTTGCTGGTATGCTCTAGTTCTATTACCTCACAGATGGTGTTCTTTCCCTGCTTCTTCACTGGCACAGGAAAGCCCCCTCTAGACAAGGAAGCCCCACTCACCATTGGTCACAGAAACTCTGGCAAAGGGGCACAGCCTGCACCGCTGTGGGTCGCTGAGGATGAGGCCACCGGGCAGCAAGCGGAGAGCAGCGGTAGAAACATTCCACGTGCTGAAGGTATTCCTCGCACCTGCAGGGAAGAAGGCAATCCCAGTACTACGACTAGACATTAGGGTTAGGCTTCTTTAAAAAACTAGGCCAGGCCCAACCATTAGGACAGCAGATTTGAGAGTGGGCCTCAAGAAAAAAATAAATCTGGGGGAAAGTTGGGTAAAGGAGCAAACCTATGTATGCTGACTGGATAAATGCTGGCTGTGGTATCGCTTTGGCTGTCCTAACATGCTTGGGGTTGTGGTGCTTCTCTCCACTCTTCTCCTCACTGTCTGGTAACCAGCAAGACTAGATGCAGCCTCAGAGAGGGAGCCCCCACCCCCACCTATTGGCAGAAGCCCAACTTCTCAGCCCTGTAAGGCAGGAGACACATGTGATTTTCCCATCAGCCTGTAGAGCCAAGGAAGCTAAGAGAAATCCAGTTCATTCCATCATTCCTGGAACATCAGCTGCCTTTGGCCTTGCCTCAGCTACCAGTAACCATTCCATCAGGTCACCCGAGGTGTCTCCGACTCTGCTGCTGTAATTTTAAGTACTGGTGCCTGAGCTTACTTTCCTCCCGTTTCTTGTGCCTCCTCTTGCATGTCTTTCAGACTGTAAACCTGAGGGCAGTGACTGCCATACAGTCGATCTTGGTAAGCTGCCCTGGGAGCAATTTGGGACTAATGGGTGGACAAGAAATGCTTAAATAGGTTCAGGAGCCATGGCTGGCTTCCTTCTCCTTCGGAGGGGCTGCATTCTGACCTGCTGCTGAGGCTTCCACAGCGGTTCCAGTAGATGTCATTGGATCTGGAAAGGTCTTGGCCAACCTCTGGTGAGCAACAGGCATCTGTGGAAAGAACATCTTTGTTAACATCTCCAGCCCTTTGGACTGAGAAAAAACAAAGATTTTACATGCTATCTTTATGAAGGCAGCACCTGCACCTATTACCTGAAATGCTAGATCAAGTATGAGCATGGTCACCATCACTTACCACGTGACAATACATAAACCCTCAGCAGGCAATCTAGAAGGGATTGCATACAAAATATAGACCCACTCTGCCTCCTGGCCCCCCATTTCTCTCCTCTAGTCACTACAGCAGCCTTCCCCAACCTGGCATCCTCCAGACATGCTGGACAATGAATCCTTTGATCCTCAGCCACAATAGCTTTTGTCTCAGGTTGACGAGGGTTACGGTCTGACATACTTGAAGGGGCACCAGGTTGGGGGTTGTTTCTCTACAGCCTCTGCATGCAAAGATTTTTCAAGTTTTCCAAAGGGTTGTGCTGTCACCAGAAGCTGACAGGAGCTTTCGCCAGTGTCTTGTGCCCTCTGCCAGATTGCTGCACTGGGGACCATTAATCCCAAACATGGGGATAAGTCAGAGTCAAGTTTTGATCTGCTGGGTGTGTTTGATCATTGCAGCCCCCAGATGAAACATGTTATTCTCATTAATGTTTCTATCCACCCCCCTGAAAAGAATTCATGCTCAACATGTATGAGAAAGAAGTTCTGATTTTTAGAAAGTGAGTCCCTTGACACTTGCCAAGATCTGATCTTTTTATTTTTTGAGCACTGCCTTTTTGATTTAGGACCTCAACCAAGGGGGAAAAACAGGCTTGGACACTACTGAAAAGTCTGGGGAACACCGGGTCTTACAGCAGCCACATAGTTCTGTATGTGGATATTGCCATGCATAAGAATGGAATAAGACTTAGTTTGTTGGCTTCAGTTCTGGTGAAACAACCTATTCAATGTCCAAACCAAATATGCATGAATGCTCAGTAAATTCTTATAACACTAGTTTTTCGTGAATACAATTGGCTGGTTGTTTCCATTTTGGCCCTCTTAATATGCTTTTATGACAGACTGCCAGGCCCATCTTATGCAAAATATGAACTTAGTGCAGGGCAAAACTACAAAGCTAGTTTAAAAAAATGCTTGCAATTGCCTACACAAGACTGAAGAGGACAATCTGGAGCTCAGCTCTGTTTAGTGCAAGACAGTTTTTTAAAAGTCATTTTTAACAAATTGATAACTCACCCACTTGAGCAATTTTTGTGTGAAAAAGATGCCACTGACCCCTGTGGAGCATTTGTGCTTTCATGATTTTCCAGCCTACACACCCTGTTTCCTTTTATCCTGTTCCTGGTTTGAGAAAAGCTTGGAAGCAGTCTGCATATGGGAAAGGGGGAAGTGCAGGCACCACTACCAGGAAAACTATGAAGTGTTGGAAATGCAGGCTGCTCCAGCAGACAACTAAGCAGAGAGCCCCCTCACAGCAACTTAAAATAAATGGGCCCTATTCTGACCCACTTTTCTAATGTTAATGGGCTGCTTGCCAGCCTCCTATATGACTGCCCCCATTCCAGTGCCTTAGACTGAAGTCTGACACAGAGAAATTTAGCATATGAATTATTTTACAGCACAGAGGAAATACCCGAAAGAGCTTTGTCAGCCCGTTCTGGGCTGGTATTAATCACTGCAGAAGGACAAAGAGGAGGAAATCTAGTTTTCTTACAACACTGACACTGATGCACACACATACACAAGTCCCCATGAAAACACACACATACTTGCCCATCTTCACCTGTGGTGTGAAAGGTGCAAGACCAATAAATTAGGCAGCAGCCCTGTGTGTAGGCCTTATAAGTCAAGTACCTGATGCATAACTTATGGGACAAAAAAGAAATGAGGCCCTCCCCAGTAGCACACTTAAAAAGAAGGTTCTTATATTTTATGCACTTCCTCATGGGCCTGAACATGGAAGGTTTTAACATGTGCAGGTCAGGCTCTCTGGTGTTAGCTTGAGTGCCTCTTTTATCCTTTTATGTGCAAAGGGGGTTATTAATCAAAGAAATAAAGGGTTTAATTGCTATGCAAAAGGTGATTTTCAATGGGGATTGCAACTCGGGAGGGAATAGTTAACTCTCCCTTTTCCACATACTGAAAGGCACCCCATACTGAATATCTATCTACATGGCAACTAACTTCAGGAAAAAATAATTCCCATTGGCTTGGGATGATCTGGAACAGGATGTACTAATAGCAGAATTTATGTTGAGATTGTTTTGATGTAAAATTAATAAGCTGGCTTTACCTCCTGTGAAATTTAAACAAATCCTAATAAAATGTCTATATTTGCATATATAACTATAGATTGAGCTGTGCACATTTTATACAGATTTGATGCAATACTTACTCCCTGCATAGATCTGGCAGATGCCCAGCTGTCCTTCTGGGCTTGGACTAGGCTTGTGCTTCCCTCCAGGCAAGCAGTGGTCCTCTGCGCCCTTGGCACTGGTGCACAGCACCACCAATGCCCAGGCCATTCCCATTATCCAGATGCTGCCATCACTGCAGCCACTCATGGCTTCCTGAGGACAAGGGCACGGTGTTATTAACTCAACTTCAATAGAAGAGCTGCTCCTCCACCTTCAAGCAGCCAGCCTGATTGTACAAGATCCACTCACCCTAATCTGAGTTCCCACTGGTATTTCCCTGGTTAGGCAATGCTTTTATCTCTACCCCATTCCAACAACTCCCCCCCCTCCCTCTTGGTAAGCAGCTAGCACATCATACCCACAGCCCTTCTCTTTGTGCACCGTTTGACTTCAGAGGGAAGGCCTCCTGCAGCAGCTGCTGCTAATTCATCCCCCAGCCTGGCCAGGTAATCCAAAGCATGCCACCTGGAGGCAACTCTTCACAACCCTCATTAGGACCAGCTGGCTTGGGTACCACCAGCTCCTGCTTAAAGTTACCATTTTGTTAATAGAATTGCTGACCCACTGGCACATCCCTATGTCTTTCCATTATATTTTTGGACCCCGCATCCACAAGGTTCTGTCAGTGCTTGTACACTCTTCTGGTGTGGCTGGGAATGGTCTGGTAATCAGGCCTGGCTCCCATAATCCTGCACATGCTAGCTAGGGACTCTGAAAGAGCAAAGGTAGAGCAAATTAGACAAAGTTGTAATGGTGGCAAGAGAGTCCATGAGGCCTCGTTTCCAGCTCTCCTCCTACAGTCTGCTAGACCTTTCAAATGTGGGGTCCAGCACAAATCCCCCCTGCCCCTCTTCAAATCTTGTAATCAGTTCCTAGACTCTGAACACTGTAGCCACTAAAAGAGAAAGAGGCCCTTTTGAAAGAACAGAGGGACCAGGGAAGCTTCTTTTTTTCTTGCAAGTGGTGGGTGCAAGGACTCCTTGCTGTTTATTTCCTGGCACTGAAAGACCAGATATAGGTCTTTTGGGAAGAAATACTGGAAAGTGAAATTTGATTCCCCATGCCCACCGATGCTGTCACTGCCCTGCCTTCATGCAAACTGTGCCAGCAAGCAGAAACTCACCACAGCAAGTACTTTCAGTGCAAGGTGACCCCTGCCACAATCCCTTCCTTTACTGTGTCTGATGTCAGTGAGGTGCCTAATTTGCAACAAAAGGAGGCAAGATGCAGCTTGATTAAGAGCTCCTTAGAAAGGGTGTCACCTTGGCAGGGCCATCCCTACTATTGGATAAAGTGTGGAGGCCACCTCAGACAGCAGATTTTGGGTGTCATGCCAGGGGTGGATCAAGGTGCTTGTGAGGCTTTCCATCTCATATGCAAAAACAAAAGCACAAAAACCCCTCATTGGCTTTGGTTTCTGTATATCTTGACTTGCTTTGAGCAGCAAAATTTTGGGGGCTGGCCTGACTTTTAGTTCTGGGATGCAGACTACAAAGTGAAATTGGACCACGGACCTTATTCTCAAGAACAGTTTTAGACGTGCCAGTAGAATCAGATTCTTTCAGGCCTTCAATCTAAGCCATATACACAGTGACTGCCTATGTGTGTGCGAGAGAGATTCCTGATGTATGTCATAAGTATCTGAGATACCCTGAAATCTGTCTGGGAAGGCTAAAAGAAAGGACCCACTCATGTCAAATGGACTCTTGGAATCAGCATGCCTTATTTGAGGAAGAGAAATTCTAACCCAAGAAGTCAACCTTCCAGAACAATTATCAGTATAGTCTTCTATTACATTGTATAAACATTCCTTCAGTCCCCAAAGGAATTTTCCAGAGTGCTAAGTCAACCCTAGTTTTAACTCTGGAACATCTAAAAATGTTTAATGGCAGTGGTACCAGCAAAATATTTCACCAAGATTGGGTCTAAGCCCACCAAAGGGAGCTCTTTCCTACTGTTGGAACAGAATCTACATAGTCCAATACCCTTTAAAGCTACTGGGGCCCTTTAAGAGGCTTCCAAACAGACAATCATTTCCGAATTGCTATCACAAGACATTACGGAGCTGTTCCAGTCTTTTCCTCCTTAAGGGATCATGTTCAATAAAAAGAGAGACTGAGAGGGAGGGAGGGAGAAGAAATGAGAAAACACAGGAGGGAGGTTGTTACAAATGGAAAACGGCATTTGGACTCCTTGTAATATTTTGTGAATGAGGAAGGGCCACTGTGTGGGCACCCAAGTCTGAAGGATCCCTTGTGTTGGTGAAGCATTTGCAATCTGTTAGAGGTGAGTGTGCCACAGCCCTACATAGGGCCCTCATCGCACAGTGCCATGTTCTTCCATGCCATCCTGCGGGGACCGTTTCCACAACAAAGGCAAACATAAGGGATGCACTACTGTGCTTGCCCATAGCAATCCCAAGCAAAAAACAACCCTGAAAAATGGCACATTTTATCATTAATGAATTCTCTTTTCTATCCAAAGAGTGCACGTGCACTTGAGTGCAGAATCAAAATGAAGAAAATGTAAATGAAGAAGGAGGGACATGAAAAGTGAAGGAATGGGCAGAGAAATCATGTTACGCTGACTGCACAAGCAGCCTGTTGAAACAAACATCCCACTGATCATCTGGTGGAGGAGAAAGAAGAGTTTAGGAGAATGAATCTAGTTTCCTGCTTCCTCTCCCAGCTAGATTAAGTTAACTGGAAAGTTTTTTTCCTTTGTAAGTGTTTCTTGGGTGTCGGTCGAGTAATGGTGGTAGCGCAGGGCAAGCAGTGGAGCAGAACTCCGCCAGTGGCCTCCACAGACCATTTCCCCAGCAGATATGCCAATGATATCCACAGTTTCACACATGAGAAACTGCTGCCACCATTGCATTAAAAAATCAGAAGCAGCTGGGGTGTAGAAAGGCACAACATAGTTGGGAGAATGGGGAAAATGCTGGAATGCAACTGTTTGTCAAGGATATCCATCTGGATTCTGTGTAACATCAAAGTGAATGACAGATGTCAGTTCCAGAAAAAACAACATCACTTAAACAGAGTTTTGAGTAATTCTCTGTAAATTGCCTTTTATAGTTCCTGTCTTGTTCCAGCTCAAATCCTTTCCAATTACCCTTACTCCATAAAATACAAATTAATGGCAATGTTGATGTGTAAAGTGCTTTCTGCTAGTTATCTGGTTTGTCCATAGCACACCCTTTAGGACAAATCACCATTAACATCTTTCATATGGAGAAGGAGCTGTTGGAAGACATACAGTGCCTTAGCCAGGTGTCTTACTCAGGAGCCTTCCAGCAAGTCACAAATTTGAACTCCGATTGTTTCAAATCTAGGTCACCTTTGTGTGCACTGGGGGAAAGCCCCACTCATCTCAAGTTCCCCATTTCTGTTCTAGAAGCCCAAGCCCAATTTAACATCTGAATGTTTAAGGGAATATGTTCTCTGGAGTTCGGAGCATGAAGGCTTCACCCAGAGCACTGGCCAGGCCAACGTTCTCGACTGACATTGAGCTGTGAATCTTAGATGGCCTTACTCAAATTCATCCTTCTTAGTCCCTGGCAAGGAGCCTGGAAAATACTTGCAGCCTCAATCCCAGCAAAGATTAGTGACAGACCTCAAAGAAGACAGCTTCCTATCCTCCCTTCTTTCCAGGGCTGGCCCAAAATATTTTGCTGTCTGAGGCGAAGGGCAAAAGAGTAGCCCTCATCTCATCCTACCCCACCCATTCCACATACAGAAGCCAGTCCTTATTTCAGTACTACAACTTTTCCTCCATTCATCAAGAGGACACTTTATCATCATCATCATCATCATCATCATCATCATCATCATCATCATCCCACCTTTTTCCTGGAAAAACCCTGGGTGGCTTATGTAATCCTCCTTGTCTCCATTTAACCCTCACAAGAATCCTGTGAAATTTGTTGTGCTGGGAGTCTGTGACTGGCCCAAAGGCACCCAGTGAACCTCATGGCTGAGTGGGGACCAGAACCTCCATCTTCTTGGTCCCAGTCCACCACTCCACATTGGTTCTTCTGGTTGAGCACTTCCAAGGGCCCATACCCAAGATCTGCTGGATTTGCTCTTTCTGTTCGACATTGCACCCAGCTGGTTAACCCACCACTTGCTCTGGCCTGGACAACAGTGGTGGTGAGGAGGAGGAGCAGAATTGTTTTCTTCCTCTGCCTATGGAGCAAGCAAGTAGCAGCAGTGATGGGAAAGAGGGTGAGAAACTGGGGACAGTGGCACTGAGAAGGCAGAAACACTAAGTGCGGGGCCCATTCTGGGTGTCTTGCCCAAGAGCCCGGAAAAGCCTGGACTTGGCATTGCCTCCACTGCACCTACAGGCAGCAGGCTAAGCCAGGCGGCCCCAAGCAGGCTACGTAGCAAACACATGCCATCTGAAACCTTGCCCCTTTGATGCCCCCCAGGATCTGCCACCCATGGCAGCTTCCTCACTCTGCCTAATGGTAGGGCCAGTCCTGACCCTTCCTGCTGTATTGAGTCTTTGGACAACTGCAGCCAGTGAAGCAAAATAATGCAATGGTTACATGTGAACTTAAGAACCTAAGCAAAGCCACGCTCGACCAGACCAGCACTCCATACACAAGTGGCCACCCAGCTGCCTACAGAATCCCTCAAGCAGGATGGGTGCAAGAGCTCCTCCTGCCCAAGCTCCTCAGCAACTGGGGTATGCAGGCTTGCCACCTCCACTAAAGGAGGCAGCACATGGCCAGCAAGGCTAGTAGCCAGTGATAGCCTCCTCCCCCATCTATCCAATCCCTTTTAAAAGCCACCCAGATTGGTAAGTATCATCACTTCCCAAGGCAGGGAATTGGCAATGTGTTTAACTACACATTGTGTGAAGAATTCTCCCGAGAATAATAGCATGAGACTGTCCGAGTCGTCTTTATGGAGTATCCATTGAATAAATAGGCTTTTGCAACATGTCTCCCACAGTATTTGCAAAGCAGAACAAATTAGCTAGAACTCCTGTAATCCATCTCCAGCTTTGGAGGGGAGCAGACCTGGCTCAGCTCCGGAGGCAGTTTCTGAAATAATCAGAAAGCCGCTGTGGGACATGGGGCATGACAACAAAGAACAAGCTGCCTCTGATCCCATGCAATGTGCCTTTTCCACATAACTGCAAGTGATGGGTATGATCCTTCCCTCTTTTGCAAGATAATTGTATCCTGTAGCCATTAAGCTACAAAGTCTACATGACATTTAGGGGGAAAATATACTACATGGTCATACAGAACCATCTGTCTAGGATCTATTGCTCTCTATCTGTGGGGGGAAATATTCATTTGTGTGTAGCATATACTCAAGAGACAAAACAAAGAATCTGAGTTCTTTAGGCTGTAATCCTGTGGACCCTTACCTGGGAGGAAGACTCACCGAATTCAGAGGTACATACAGATAATTTGCACTCTTAATGCACCAACACCAATCTATTTAGCCACATTCAAATATATACAAAGCATCAGTGTTACTTGAAAGCTTGCATAGTCTTTACACTAACAGAGGTTGGTCCAAAAGGAATAACTTTCCTTTTTCTCCAAGTCCAAATAAGCAAAGCAAAGGTATGCATGCTGACTATAAGAAAAATTCCAAAATCAGTAATAATATAATACTTTTATTAAGCCTATCTTATTCCCATTTCCTTATTCTGTTTTTTCCCCTCATTTTTGGATCCTAACAGGAAGACAATGGTGTTCAGCAAATTTATTAGCCTTGTCTAAGAGATGTTCCCTGCCTTAAATATGGCTGTTGCTTAAAGTGGCTCAGTACTTAAAAGAAGGTGGGCAACCAGTGCATTTCTGGAGAGGATGAGCCACCAAAGAGTTCGTTTTCATGTATCCGATATTTGCTGAAGTCTCTCTTCTGCTTCCAATTCACATCCCTGCAGAAACATCTTCCCTTCTTTACCTTTAGTTGTGTATCAGACTAGGGTTGGATCCGGATTTCAGCTGCATTAGCTGCGCTGATGGAAGCTTGGAGCCTAGAAACTGATAGAAACTGCTACTAAAGCCAAAGAAGAAAAGATGCTTACAGCAATGGACGGGAGGTTTGAACGGTGAAATTAACACCGATTATGACAACAGAGAGATACAAAACAACCTCACTGGCTTGTGGACACATGAGGATCCTGTTCGTATTTGGGCTGTTGTTATGTGATGTCAAATCGTGTCCAATTTATGGTGCTCCTATGAATGAAAGTCCTCCAAAAAGTCCCATCCGTGACAGCCCTGTTCAGGTATTGTTAAAGGCTCTGGCTTCCTTTACGGAGTCGATCCATCTCATTTTTGGTCTTTCGCTTCTGCCATTCACTTTCCCTAGCCTCTTCATAAATTTATCATAGGACTTCTAATTTATTTATAAAATAAACCCACAGATACTTGTACACAATCATCATGATTTTGAAGAAGAGAGGTGGACCTTTCCTCTGGCAACGCCTGCATAGGTAGATGAACTGTTTGTTTGATAGAGAAAACTCACTGGCGTCGCATCTGCGTGCGTGTTGCCACAAAGAGGTTCAGTCTTGTGGGCATACGACTAATGGGGGGCGGGCGGGGTGAGCTATAAACTTGGGCTCTAAGATTAACTTCATTGGCTAATAAAACTGGTTAAAATAAAACATGTCTCCAATTTTTATATATGGGGATATATTCTTATTTAACCAAAGGACACCCTAAACAGCCAAGCTACCAGCGAAGCCAAGGCTGCAGTCCGAGTTCATGGCTCGATCCCCCGGGAGCAGGCAGACCGACGGGACCGGATCTCTCCGCGGCGGGACCTTCCCCTGGAACGACTCGGCCCGGGGGGCCCCCCGCCGTCCGCGGCAGCGCGCTCCTCTCCGCACCCCCAGGCTATCCACGGAGCTGCAATGGGCATGTGCCCATCGGAGGCAGTGGGGGAAGGAAAGGGCGCCTCCTGATTCCCACGGACAACAACGGCATCCCCCCCCCGAACTGCCGCGGGGCTCCTCTCAGACACGCTAGATCCCGTCCGGCTGCTTCAGCACCTCCAGCCCATTCTCACGATCCTCGAACACGAATTCGAAAGGCACGCGATGGCAGCTCGGCGTGCGTGCGAAACGCGCCATAGGAAAACAATGCCCACACTTGGGGGTTGGATTCGCCGTTCGCCTGACTTGTCTCATCCAGGTCTATAGGTCTCCTTTAAGTAAACTCCTCCGCCTGTGAGATGGGGAAGGGCGACTGGGAGGCTCGTGACCCGGTCCGTCCCAAGAAACCCGGCCGGCGCCCCCATCGGCGTCACCGCGGGCTTGCACCGCCTGGTTTGGGCTGCTGCAGGTGCCGCTACCGCGACCCTAACGGAGCGCCGTGCCTGGGAGCAAAACAGCTGCCTCCCTTCAGTCCCCTTCATTCCCCTGGGTCTACTCGAAGTAGGAGTAACGCTGGAGGCTCCCCAGAACATCCCAGATCCGGGCGGGATCTGCGGCTGTGTTGCCCGGCGCGATCGGGCGTTTGCAGGCGCCCGCCCGCCCGCTTACCTCAAACCCGCGCGGGCGACAGCGGTGGGCTGCGCAGGGCGAAGCGGGGTTGCTTCTCTCTCTCGCCTGGACTCGGTCGCCCTTCGGGAGCCGCCGCCGCCGCTCTCTCCACCGCGCTCTGCTTCGGGAGAATGGAGCCGGGTCGCTGCTTCTGGCGGCTGCTGGTGCTGCTGCGGCAGCCGCAGACAATCCCCTGCCCCCTCCCCGCACTTCGCGCCTGCCCTCCCCAGTCGCGCAAGACGCCCGCCAGCGGTGGAGAAGACTGCGGGGCCCGCGCGAGCCTGACAGTTCGGGGGGAGGTGCCAAAAAGTAGGGGAGCGGTTGGTTTGGTTTGCAGCCCTGTGGAAGAGTCGCCCGTCAACTTCCTTGTGTGTGAAAAACGGAAGGGGCAAAGAAAATTTGGGAGGCAGCCCTCCAGCCCCGCTCTGGCGCCAGACTGGTGGGGGGGGCTTTCTCAAGGACGAATGAGGTTGACCAGGTGGAGGTTCTGGAGTTGGCGCTTCTGGCTGCTGCGGCTGCACAGCTGCTTTGCCAAGTTGCCACGTGAAGGAGCTAGGTGGTATCGAGGGAAGGGGTGGCCCCTCACCATTAGGCTGTAGCCCCCGAGACCAGAGCCAGCCCAAAACATTGTCCTGGCTGGGGCAGAGCAGAAAACAAGGGCCTTACACCCTCTCGCCCCGTCCCCTTCCACATCAAGGTGCTTAGCATCCAAACCCAAACGTTTAGGGTACATGAAGCAGAAAATCCCATAAACACCTCTCCTCATCCCTGGCAATAGAGATCCAAGAACCAAGTCGGTCATTTTGCTGCCCTTTGGTGCCATTCAGACTGCTTCCTTCCACCTCTGTCCAATCCTTGGTGCCAGGGGTAATGTTCCCCCACCCATGGCACAAAGAGTCCCTGACTGTGCAAGGCAACAGATGACAACTTTGTGTACAAAAGGAGTCTGCTAGATCATGCTCACAAATACTGCAGGGCAGAGACCACTTCTGTCATTACCCATTACCCCAAGCATCTGCTAAAGAGAGAGGTTTATTGTGCTCTGTTCCAATATCAGGAGCCTCCATGTGGCTCAGAAGTCATTCTTATCTGCTAATGGTTAATCTGTCAGATTCTTTCTTTTGAGAAGACATCAGCACGACTCTCCCTCAGAACATCCTGTGCATGGGATTCCATAAGGCTAATTCTGGCTTCTGTGAAAAAGGATTTCCTCCCCTACCCCCTGTGATGATCATTGGGTAATCACAAGGAAGGACGGAAGGAAGGGGAGAGAGGAGAGAGAGTTCTCTGAATATGGGACATGATTCTCACAGGCTGTTCCTTCCACCTGCTGCTTGTGATGATTCTTTTGGTGACCAGTTAGTGAGATGCACATGGAACTGGGCTAACGAGAGTGATCAATTTCAGCCAATCAATAATATACGCCTTGCAATAAACCTCTGCAGTGTGATTAATTTCTAAAAAGTGTTTATTTGAAGTATTTTATTCTGCTCTTCAGCCAAAAAGGCTTTCAGAGCTTATGTACAAACAATAAAAACAAAGCAATCCTTGCCCACAAGCTTGCTGTCTGAACTACACAAAAGGAAAAAGAGATGGAAACGGTCTTTGGGTAGGGCCGCTAGTGGAATGGCTCCACTTTCAATCTCAGCTTCTTCTGCTGCAGCCTGATGGAGCATGAGAATCTAAGCCTGCAAGGAAGCCCTACCCTGAGAGCAGGAAGTGAGATTTCTTCTAGTCACAAGGTGTGAGTACTGATGAAAGAAATTAACTTAGTACATGCTCACGGTTTGCATCACTTATATTATCAATGTCTCACATGTTCTTACCTTGACACCTTGCACTGAATATTTGCTGTGGAGTCTGGTGAACATTGATTGGTTCAGTTTGGGCCCAGAGGGTCCTAAACATACTGCTCAGCTTTATTAACTGCCTGGTGGAATGGCAGAGAAACGAGGTTTTGAAGCTTGCACTGATTATGGCTGGGGAATCCCAATTCCAGGCAATCATTACTGAAATCATTTCTCGAAAGTGGGAAAAATGTTGTCCTGTGAATGAATCATGATCAGGAAGAGCTGGTGTGGTTTGTCTATATACCAGGATATATATTTGTGTGGTTCCTTAGGGCTAAACAGTTAGTGTGGATGGAGTTTTGACACACACTCTCCAGGTGCAGATCCCTATTGTCTAGGCATTAGGTAATTCCCATATGACAAAGCTGACCCTAAGCCAGCAGCCTTGCAAGAGATGGGGGGGGGCAGGGGTGTCTGCAGAAATCAGAGTGAGTCATCGTGGGCACCCAGCCTGGATGATAGTAAAAGGACATTCAGATCATTTATTGTGGGACCTGCTTTCAAGTCCCGATTTGTCCATAAAACCTTTTCATGGAGGGCCAATTTTGTTGCCACTTTTTGCATCCAAGGAAGCTCAAGGGCATTCAGGGCAAATAACAAAGAGTGCATATCAGCTGTGGAATTTGCTATCACAAGTAGTGATAGCCACCAACCTGGAAGGCTTTAAAAGGAGATTAGATAAATTCAAGGAGGATAAGACTGTTGCTGGCCGCTGGACATGTGGCTATATGTTACCTCCAGTATCAGAGGCAGTATTTCTCTGCATATCAATTACTGGGGAACATGTGGGGAAAGGAATTTACTGTGCTATGTCCTGCTTGTGGAATCCCATAGTATAGACTATCCACTGTGGCAAAAGTATACTGGTATAAATAAGCAGGACTCTTTTTCCTATGGTCAGATTCTAGGAATATGAGTCTTCCTCTACTATGAACTCTGGGACTTTAATTCCCAGCGGTGTTAGGACTCAGTGATTATCAGAATTTTATGCAGTTGAGTTGTGTTTCTAGGCTGCTGGCAGTGGGAGCTGAAGTCTGGCAGAACAAATCTGGGAGTGGGGGAATAAAGTATAATTTAAAATGCAACTGCATTTTTAAAAATGCATAACAAAAGACAGTATGGACTGTGAGATGGATTTTGATATGAAGAGCATATGTTCAAGTCCCACCTACACCAAGATTCACTGTGTGACCCTGAGCATCAACATTTGTTAACACCTATGGTCTACCTCATGGGGTTGTTTTGATAGCAGAGAACCTAAGATGTGTATGTTAATCAATCATCCATATACTTTTTGTATTTTAAAACCATCACATTCAATTGACTTTCCCCACTGCAAATCCAGTCTTAATGGAGTTGAAGGACCTTAATGGAGTGTCTGTGATCAAATATGCTCCCTTCTTTCATGTCCTAGAATAAAATTACGTTGTGCCTACTCTCTCCTGCCCCACATTTTGGGGCTGCATGCTCTGCTGCTACTGCTCTCTTCATCCTGCCCGAGGTGAGGACGTCTTACTGCTTTTGAGCCTTACTGCTTTTGAGACAAGAGTGCTTGTCTCTAGGCCAGAGGAATCAACGAGGACAACAATAACCACTCACAAACAAAAGACAGGCATAAAGATGCAGGCAAACCCTGCCCTCCTCTGTACCATGTGCAAAGCCTGCCCTAAGCCAAACTAAGCAGACTGCTAAAAATAACAACTGCATAAAGTACAATCAATGGCTTCCTACTGCATTGTTGAACTGAGAAGATAAAAAGGGCAAGGGACTCGATATCTTTAGAAGTTTTGAAATTGTAGAAGGGAGGAACAGAGGGCAAAGTATTTTGGTTTCTCCCATGCAGCCTTTCACAAGGTAACAGAAGGTGGGGTGAGGGAATAGATAATGTTGCAGCCCTCCCCAAACTGGCACTGTCCAGTTGTGTTGGACAACAGCTGCCATCATCCTCAGCCTGCATGCTCTGTGAGTTGTAGTCCAATACATCTGAGGGAAGGTATTATCAGGTATAACTGAAGATGGCGGAGTGGTGGGCCACTGAACTAATCTCAGCATCTGGGATTTTTGGAGGGGTGTTCAATTTTATCTAAAAGGATGATAGACATTACTTTGGGGCAGAGCGTGGAGGAATGGGGTTTGATACCTGCCTTGATCTATTTGGTTTTCCTTCAAATCTCCTATTTTTAAAAAAATATTTATTAAATTTCTATACCACCCAATAGCTGAAGCTCTCTGGGCAGTTTTACAACCCACTGGTTTTGTGTGACATCCTTGCATTTTAGTTTCTACAGATATTACTCAGCTAATTTGGGAGTTTATTGCATGCTGAGCCTTTTTTTAAAGGTATATTCAGTGCTATCCTTCTTTGTATTCCATTACCCTCAAGCCACCAAGGTCATCGGATTTATGTACTCCAAAGATCCTTTCTGAATGCTGAACTGACAGGGCAATAAATCTACATTGACTGTGTGAGTTCCACAGATACGTTCCTACTGGTGCTGTGATATTGCCTTTTTTCAGTGCAAAAAATGCTTGCTTGGAAGCCACTAACAACAGGTGAGAGGATCTAAGCTGTTGTCAATGTTTCAAGAGGGTGAGAGGGACTATTTGGGTCAGAGACTGCTCAGACCACTAGAATTAGCTTGGCGCACAGGATTTGCACCATAATCCATCCAATGGCATCACAAAACAGTTGTTTACTCAGACACACAAATGACTGAAGGCACAGGAGTGACCTGGCAATGCAGAGAGATGCTTAGCGGTACTTTGTTGGCAGGATTGAGATGTGAATTTAAAAGAGGTTGACTTTGCAGGTGCTGACTGGAATGGCATACAGCCCCTTCCTCAACCTGGGGCCATCTTGGAGACTATGCTGGCTGGGATTGATGGGAGCTGCAAGGCACCAGACTTGGGGAGGCTTAAATTAAGCCACTCAGGATCAAGGATCTCATACTTGTTATGCCATGCCTGCACTGTGCATGCTAGAAGATTGCTCTTGATCTTTCGATAGGGAAATATTCTCTTTTTGACTCCAGAGATGAAGCATTGGTTATCTTCATTGCTCTTTGACACATTAATGTGTTGCATGCTCCTTCAGAGTCTGAGAACGCATTCTTTTCTGTAATGGGGACATCAGAGCAAGAAATGCCAACTCTCCCCTGTCACATTGATTATGATGTTTACAATCCTTTAAATAGCTGAAGAGGCAGGGGAGAAGAAGCAAGCTTGTTAG